AAGGAATACTAATACATACAAGAATGAAATTTTAGCGAGCACAATGTCTCGCGTAATTACATGAAAATAAAGTTCTCATGAATAAAAAGTGATTTACAGTATTATCTATTCAATATGAATATATATGTGGATTATATTAAATTTGTAATACCTTGGATTCATACTGATCATACTTAGTAAATTCATAAAATTCTTAGCATATGTGCCTAGCAGAATTTATTACCTCTGATTCATCTAGTTTATTATCTATAGCATTCATTGGGGGCTGTACTTTTGAGAGTAATTTTGAGCAGAGCTGTATTGTACACGTCATATCCCCCTCGCTGATGTCTGAACAGTACAGCATCATGGTGTTGGTAATTCTGAACAGTAAATCTGGAAGGTGATCAGTCTGAGTCTCCAAAAATGTCTCCTGTCACAAAAAAACAGCATTTTCATATCCATTTACAAGTATTAAATCATAAAGTATAGAATCCATTACATTGTTGGTAGTAAACAAAAATTCTCTCTGTCCATTTCTTTACTAAGCCAACTAAATAAAGTACAGTAGATAGTCATATGAATAAGAGAAGGAAATGAAAGAATCTGGATTTGTCACATGCAAAAAAAGGATCAAATTTAAAATCAATGTGCACAAATCATGCATCTAACTTACCCGTATTATCTATGAAAAATTATATCAATATCATATAACTGGACCATAACTCTATTAGTAGGGGTAATAATTAATTTACATTATAATATTTGTATTTTTTCATGCTGAGGGATTGATTTGTTATATTCAGACTGACCAGTGAGATAACATCCAGTAGATACTCTACAAGTGTACACAGCTCAGGGAGGGACGGAATATCACTCTCCTGTACAGAGTTTGTACGTCGGATCTTCTTGGAGCTCACACACTTCTGACAGGATGCCTCAAACATACGAGCCACATAGTCCCAGATAAAGTATGGCTCGAAGGCCCCAAAAAGTAGATTACAGGTCTTGATGAGCTCGTTGTGAGTTCGTTCCTCCCTCTCTTCCTCCAGTCTTCCTGATTTGGTGGACATCATCCCCTCTTTCTTCTCCTGTTTTTTCTTGGAATAACTCCCACTCTCCCTGTACAGACACCGGAACACAGACAGGAGAACACTCTCCAGGATCACTGGGCCTATAATAGAACAAAACAAATGGTTTCAAATAAAACATGCAAAAAGTGCATTTTACATGCCTCTTTCTGTTATAGAAGGCTTGGTATATCACAACTATTATGATATGCACATAAACAGTAGTTAACAATCTTAATCCATATTACAACTTCAATGTCAGCCTACCTATCTCAGGTTTGTCTAGTAAACTCATCAAGATCCTGAATGGTCTGAGGACCCCCAGTTTTGTCCCCTCCCTTCCCTCCCCTTCTTCCTCCTCATTGTTTGCCAGCTTCTGTTTTAAGGCCTGTATCAGCAGCTCCTTAGAGAAGGTGTAGAAATACCCTAGGTCTGTTTCACTAGATGTTGAAATGCTGTCCCCGGACTGCTGGTGTTTGGAGAACTCTGGAAGAATGTTTAGCGATGCCATGTTTGTGACATTGGATCCCAGTAACCATGAATAGAGTCTGCGATTTAGTGACATGTCTCTCCGCAAGACAACGTTTACGACAGCTAGGACAATTTTGGACATGTCAGATTTCGTAAGCTGGGCATTATGCATTGGAAAGGCTAGCATCATAAAGTCTAGAAGACTGCGCTGTACCAAGACATTAGAGTCTTGTATAGCACCACACAATGCTTCCACCTGAAATTACAACAAATCTTTTTAATAGACTGATAATATGGATAAGGAGCTTCTAAAGATTATTTTTGACTGAGTCAGTAAAATGATAAAACACATTCATTATATTTCAGGTATCAGTATAGTGTAAATCATATACAAAATGTATATATATATATATATATATATATATATATATATATATATATATATATATATATATATATATATATATATATACATGTATAATAAAGTATAGTGTGGCCTCAGTTTAATACCATGAGATCAATATTGAGTCCCATCATGAAGAGCTGGTCCTCCATGGTTTGTTTCTTGTTGTAGTGATACAATAGATAGGTGATGGCGGGGAGGCGGACACTGGGACACGATTTAACGCACTCCCACAGACAGGTGTAAAAATACTCCGGCCCGGCAGCGGAACAAAAATCCTCTAGCAGTGAGATCGTCCTAAACATTAATAATATTGTAGAGTAATTTTAATTTGTAAGCCAGAAATATATCCACAAGTACTGGTAGTTGCATCCTTCTTGTATTTCTCTCCTCGAACCATTCATTTGTGTACTTATGCATATTGTTTCTTCATTATGAAATTAATAGTTGTGAATAGAATTCAAACTGACAAATTGCAAAAAAAAGTTATCAAATACCGGTAATACATGACTGTAGTTGTATGTGTATTCAATTGTATATTAGTGCATTATCTTTATACATATTCATAATGTGGAATATTTGTATAAAAACATGGCATGTGTATCAATCATGACAATATCAAACATTTTTTTTATGTGTCCTCTTCTTCCACATAAATTAAATTTTTCTTGCCAATGGATTAAAATTTAGTGGACACATAATAAATTCATACATTTTAAACAATCAAAGTTTTTAGCTAAATTTTCATACACTTCATGTACAATTTAAAAAATAAGTCTCACCTATCAAGGAGTTCTGAGCCCTCCTCAAGCCCGGGCAGTAGTCCTAGTAAAAGACCATTTAACCCAGGCTTGATATCCTTTTTCAGGGCTACAAAGTGCCGCTCATACAGCGTCAATAACACAGGCTTAACCCCCATTGCAGCATGTCCCAGCAAGGGAAATAACCCTGCACTGTAAATAAACAGGTCCTGTGCTAATCTCCGAGTTCCTATACATTTGAAAATGATGTCATATGTTTCCAAGGCCTTGAGATGGACACCGCTGGGGAGTGCAGGATGAAGACATTGTGCAAGCCTCTTTCCTATAGTTACTCTCTTTGGAATGACTGGGTATTTAGTGTGTCCCACTAGTACCTACAATGTAGACCAATTATTTCTCAAAGTTCATTGTATAATCTTTTAATGATAATTTTCTACCACAAAATTATAAAATGGAAATTTTTATTCTGTTCTATTTAGATTTCAGTACAGTAAATTCTTGATAAACCACCATCTTTTGTAATTTAGAAATCATGGCAGTATATAGAGTTTGGCAATGAAGTGAATTCCAGCATACTGGGAGATAAAGTTTCTCTTCTTTTACACCATGTAGTAAAAAATAGAGTTACCATTCTTGAGAATAACACGTTTTGAGTTTCCTCTTTAATTGTGCCAAACATCGAACATTAGCTATAATCCTTAATATAATACTCACCTTGTTAAGTTTCCCCAAGGCAGAGATGAGATCAGCCCACTCGCTTGTGTACTCAAAGCTCTTCAACGCCTTCTCCACCTGACTGATATAAGACCTGTATTTGGAATCATTCAGAAGCTCACATTCTTCAGCTAAAATTGTCAGCGCACTCATTGTTGCCTAATCCTATATTAGATATCTGTTCTGAAATACAAAGAATATATGAACTCACATAATGTCTGATATCTCCAGAGGTTGTATGAAAAGTCACCAAAGTTTAGGAAAACAATATAACAATAAATTTTTTGCTCAGCCAGAGATCAATTTCAGAAAACAGATTGTCCTCTTTGAAAAAAGCAAAAAAGGTGACGTTTAAGGATGTCACGGAGAGCACCTAGCACTAAAATGTGTTTTCACTATAGGGAAACATCTAAAACAAAGTCTGGAAATGTTGGATGAACCAGGAAATATATCAGAAGTGAACCGTGCATTAGTATGTAAATGGAAAAGACAGTTTTATAAGCAGTAAAGGCTTTGAATTGGACATTGGATAATCTATGAAAACTGTGGATTGGACTTAGTCCGAAATATCTGACGTTTTCCAGGCTTTTTTTCACGATTTTGATATTTTAGGTGCCAGGAAAACGTCAGGACCGGCGCCATTAAGAAAACTGGAAATTTCGCCTTCTCCAACTGGAGTTGATTTTCGATACTTGCAAATCGAATTAAATGTCGAACTCACAATTTTTCTATAGCACAATGCTTCTAGTACTCACCAATATCGATGAAAAGAAAATATCTCTCCACATTTCGATACAGGACTTGCAAGATTTTAAAATGCATGAAATGAAAACAAATCTCGACAGTCAGACACAATGTTTTCATTGGATTGTACATTTTATAAACGAACCATAAAAACGATGTTGATGAGTACTAAAAGTATTGTACTACATGTACTATTGATAAGTTGTGAGTTTGACATTTAATTCGGTTCGCAAGTATAGAAAATCAACCCGAGAATGCCGCCTCCGGTTGGAGGCGGCGAATTTCCAGTTTTTGTAATGGCGCCGGTTCTGACGTTTTCCTGGCACGTAAAATATCAAAATCGTAAACCCCCCCCCCCAAAAAAAAACAGGAAAACGTCTGATATTTCGGACTAGATTGGACTATGCCTCACCTGCCCCTCCCTAAGCACTTTTTCAAAAATCGTGTAAGTTTCAAACAAAACTAAATTACTTTACATCATAATCAAATAAAAAGATTATGAGAGTAAAGTTTTGAAATATGTATATTCATATTAGATTAAATTTCCCGTTCAGAACATTTTAATTCCGAGGAAATTCGAACACAATGAATACTCTTATCCTAAAGCAAAATAAGGTTATCTTATGATATACATCTTTCTGCATGTTCATATATTATTAAGTTGTACCTGTTTAATGTTATAAGTTCCATCTTTCAAAGTTTGATATGGTTGATCGTACGATAACGATGTGACCATCTGTCAAAAAAATCAACAAATACGAAAAACGCCTTTACGGATATTTTTGGAATTTTAGAATCATCTAAACGTTTGTTTATAACGGCATTAAAGAACCAAATTTTCAAACACTGCTATCACATTGACGATACATTCACATGCTTGGGACTTGCAATAGGTCATCCAAAATAACAATATTATGGATTATTCCAGTAATGCCACTACAAAGTTTGACCCCTCAAAGAGAGAAGATTACATGAACGAAGTAAAACAACAGATAGCACTTGCTAACGCTCAGGAATTACTACAGGTATGTTTTGATACTTTTGATATGTTTTATACAGGTCCAGCACAATCTCTTGATTTAGCTGTATAGCTTGAAATAGCTATATAGCTTTATTAAGCTATTCAAAATAGCTTGATAAAGCTATTTCTATGCAGTTTTTCACAAAAACTTTTTTAGTAAGAAATATGCAAAATGTCGCAAATATTTGACTATGCATATATGAAGTATGGGCTATGAAAACAACCGAAATCAAAGATAGTTCTAACATTGCAGCTTTTTAATACTTTTAAGCAAAAGATGAATTTCCTATGTTTGAATAGCTGTACACCACCTTGTGTGCGTAAAGGTGTGGATAAGTATGATTGCTTCTCATTGTATTGAATTATTACCAGTCGATTATCTTGTTGACCATAACTGGCTTCCTTTAATATGTTTTACGGTGTGACCGTTGGGGCGAGCGCAGTTGTACCATCAAAAATACACTTGTAACGTTGATCCGCCACTTCAAACTTCAAGTCACACGAGACTAGACTGTGACGTCACACGACGTAACTGAGCTCGTCAGAGTTTACGGAGACAGCCGAGCGTCTGGTTGAATGAGACTATAGGCCCAGTGCAATTTTTAATGAAAGACATTGTAGAATATTTTTTTGTTTCTTTTAAGCTTTCTACAGACTGCAGGCCTTTTATATTTTATGTTATTTATTTATTCGGGATCAGTGCCCATCCATTGTATATTGAAACGGGCAGATACTGTAAACCCCCTATTCCTAGAGAAAAACGTTTATGCTATTCATGTAAATTATTTATTGAAGATGAAAAAGATTTTGTTCTATACTGTTCAAAGTATGACCAATTTAGATGCAATTATACTGATATATTTAATGTAAACACATATACTAGTGATAATCCCATTAGAAAAATTGTCAATCTTACAAATATTACAACTGCTAGAAGGATATGTTGTGTTTTGAAAAAGTGCTTTGACACCAGAAAAGAAGGTCAGCAATGAATACTTAGAAATATGTTAATATACTCTACATTATTTTGTTCAACTCACATTTGTCACTGTGTATATGTATGTATTATTCTTGTTAATTTGTTTTATGTCATGACTGTATGCCGACATGGTAATTGTCAATAAAGTGAATTGAATTGAATTGAATTATTCGCCATTATCGCATGGAATCCTGGTAGCAAAGGAATTCTGGGAAGGTTTCACACAAAAATTTGCTTGACGTATATGTCATTCCGAATTTTCTCTGTTATTTCACATTAGTCTATTGAGCTCACTTCACGAGCAGCGCTTTGCAATTGGAGATCTGATCAAAAGGTGAGAATTATTTCTATAATTATCACTTGTCTCATCATTATATACTCCAGTCTCCAAATTTAAGTTGACGTGTGGTCGTACAAGCATGCAGTAATTACTTAATTAGATATTAGTACATGTATTATAATTATGTATATTACGTATCTACTCTATACATAATTAGCATGGTGTTAAAATAATTGATAATTATGCTATGTACTTCAAATAATCTTCTTAAATTAACAAAAAAGTAATGTTCAAAATATCTATATTTACATGTATTTAAAATCTAAAACTTTTGCCAAACGAACTATACTCAATAGCACATTTATGTACTTGGAGCGAAACATTATGGTGCGAACCATCTGAGGGCGAAACAGAATGGGCGCGAAACATCGCAGGGTGAACCATGCATTAGCACGAAACATCCCGGTACCAATTATACTAATACAAAATTTTTGTATCAGTGTTGCATTATCTGACTCCAAGAACAGTCAATTCTCCAGGGTTCTCTGTTTAGTAGTACCCTTTCTTGGTCTATAGTATTTCTGTTGGTCATTGGTCATGAACTGTCTACTGGTCATAAACTGTTAAGATTTAAATGCCATTCAATCAAACTTATGTGTAACTCACAAACAAAATTCAAAATCTATTCAGTCAATACTGGGCTCTTGATTTTCTAAATCAAGAGCCAGGTATTGGCCATTGACCATAGACCAACAGAAATACTATAGACCAAGAAACTGTTCTTGGAGTTGGATAATGCAATATTGAAACAAAAATTTCTGTAAGAATCCTCAATCTATTTATATGACCAAGAGATACAAAAAGACAATTAATTCTGTACATTATGGTTTACTATTTCCAGAAAATGTCAGAGAAATGTTTTAAAAAGTGTGTCACCAAACCAGGAACATCACTAAGCAGTTCAGAAAATGTGAGTACAAGTTAATAATCCTCCTCTTAAGATTAGCATTATGAATTCTCTGTCTAATGTTTATTTTTCTCCAATTCCAGAAATGTATAGCTATGTGTATGGACAGATATATTGACACTCAGAACTTAGTGGCCAAGGCATTTTCAAACAGATTACAACAAGAAATGTCCAGAATGCAATGACCACAGTGAGGCTAAAAGTGATGATTTTAGTGATGAAAACTCAGTGTAGAAGATGCTATATACTGTAAAGTGTTTCTGGTTGGTGTTAATGTAAATGTTGACTTGATGGAGCCTGCTCATCAAGACAAAATCATAAAACATGCTTATAACATTTTCATTTTATCAACATATTTAGTAAATTATATTACAGTGTATTAATAGTCATGATCTTTAGGCAAATATCTTGGGTTAATTAAAATATTTGAAGCAATGCAACATTTCAGCAATACATGTATGGGAGTTTTAGCTCATGGTAAGTTGGCTATGTAAGTTGGTTATGTAATACTCTCGGCATCAGTGACGGCATTCCAGGTTAAAGTTTTTGGAGCAGATTTCTTTTCAAGTACTTCTATGCCCTATATTGATCAGTGATGCATGGACAATGCTTCCAGTGTGTTTCATTGTACCAGTCAGTTTTCAGATGCTGCATTTTCAGCCAAAGAATGACCAGGTTAATGTTTTTGGAGCAGGTTAAAGTTTATGGAGCAGGATAACTTTAAGCCCTATGTTGACCAAACTTGCAGGGATGATACATCTATTGTTGTTATGATCATCGCTGACTATCAAAAAATTGTTGCTGAAGGCAGCGCGTTGGCAACAATCAATAGAAAATGTTAAGATAAATAGTCGCTGTATTCTTACAAAATATTTTTTTAAACAAACTGATTTATATTTTAACATTATCAAAGGACATTCCTCTATTTTTCTTGCAAATGGCAGACAAGGAGGTTTGTAAGAATTCCTTCTTCCCACATTCGGTAAGAGATTGGAATCGTCTGCCAGAGACAGTGACAGCAGCAGCTGCTATTGAGGAGTTGAGGACGGGACTAGACAGTGTCCCCTGGACCCAGCTGCAACCCTGGTAGACGTGATAAGCCATTGTATATAGTTTTATCTGTTTTTAAAAAGAAGAAGCCTCCTGTTTTAATCAAGCCGGAGTTATCATCACTCTTAACCTGAGGTTAATTCCTAACTGGAAGAAGTAACTTTCCAACTAAGCATGTATTGAAGTTGGTATCACAGATTTGTTTAGAAATATTATTTTCATTTACCAGGATATCCAACTATTTCAAGGTATAGATGGTTTTCCATGGCCGCCATATTGTAGGTCAACATCCCCAGATCCTTTCATTATTCAACCAAGTTCAATTTTTTATACTGGGCACTGAGGTGAAGATAACACTGTTTTTCTTATGAATATACGTTTGCTAAAGCTTCTTTTAATTCATAATTTCAATATTGTAAATATTTTTTACCATGTATTTCTGGCATGCATGATTAAAATTGGTTGCTCAAAGAGGAAAATTCACTACTTTGACCTACAAGATGGCAGCCAAGGGGAATAACTCCAAGACAAAATATGTCATAGGAAAACCATTTATACTTTATTTAATGTAACCTTTAAATCAGAGTTCAAACTACATACATGTCTCATTCATATAATCCATTGTAAGCTACCGATTCAATTTGATAATTGATAGTAAATTTGGTCAGATTTTGAAACACTAGATACATTTAAGGATGCGCACTACCAGACTTTCTTCAGATGCTGGATCTGACCTAAATTTTCTGGATGAGTGACCAGGTTAAAGTGTTTAGAGCAGGTTCATTCTAAAGTAACTATAAGCCTTATGGTGACCAAACTTGCATGGATGATACATCTAAGAATGTACACTTCTAGACTTGCTTTGGATTTTGGATTTGACCTACATTTTCTGGATGAGTGACCAGGTTAATGTTTTTGGAGCAGATTTAATTCTAATTAAAAGTAACTATAAGCCCTATATGACTAACCTTGCATTCAAACATTTACAGTGTATTGATGCACATTACTGGACTTGCTTCATATGCTGGATTTGATCTAAATTGTCCAGATGAGTGATCAGGTTAAAGTTTTTGGAGTAGGTTCATTCCAGGTAAGACCCCTTTTTGGCCCTTAATTTGTGGTCTCTCCAGGAGCGATGCAATAGTTCATCATCACTAACCTGTTGTCATCCCTCTTACAAAATGGGTATTGATTCTAAGCTATGGGGTACACAAAGGTCACAGGATGGGCACAAAATATGTAAATTTTCTCATTTTTTATGCAATTTTTCATCAATTTTATAGCACATTTTGTCTCAAAAAACACAGATCACAAACTTACCTATCTACCTCTATATATTTCATGTACTAGTATCAGATGCTTATTGTGCATAAAAATCTCAGATAGGCAAAGTGTTTCTTTGTTTGTATGTTGTTTAACATCCCTCTCGAGAATTTTTCACTCATATGGAGACGCCACCACTTGCCAGTGGAGAGCTGCAAATTTTGTCCTATACTCGGCACTTACGGCCATTGAGCAGTGAGGGATCTTTTTCGTGCCAGCACCTACTGTGACACGGGACCTCGGTTTATACGGTCTCATCCGAAGTGGGATTCGAACCCGCGACGTAAGGATCAACTCCTTACTCCGCGACTCTAGAGCAGACACTCTAACCACTGCGCCATGCGGGCGACGATAGGCAATGTGAAAAGTATCTCAAACTTGCAAAATTCCATCAGAATTGAGGAAATTCGAAAAATGTCCAACTTTGTCACCCTTTTGTGGCATCCCAGTACTATATGAATCAAAATTATTGCTGGTTTTAAAGCAAGCAACATTTAATAAATGTTCTTAACTGCAAACCCTCGCAATTTTAATTGTGTTCTGATTTTTACGTCAAATAGGGGGCCAAATTCGGCTGTACCATACCTTGTCCTCTGCGTGGAATTTGCATCTAGGAATACAGTTAAGGCTCATCTTCGCTAGCCAAGGGTTTCTGATACTCTACGCTCCTCATAAGCCCTTGGCATACGGTGTTAAAAAAAGTTGGAATTTTTTTCTCAAGTTGTGATTGGAGTTGATCGACATTGTTCGACCAATCAGAAATTGTTTTTTGTAAATGACGATATCGCAAGTCAACAACGATCCGTAAGATAACATGCCATTCTATGAATAGCTATATGGTGCAAAATATGTGATTAAGAATCTATACTGAAGATGTAGATTTGAATTTTAACATGTTTAAATAACAAATTAACATAACTCAATACCTTCTTGTTAATTATTCTTTAAAAACATTATGTTTTTAAATACGCTTTTTATTTCTGTCGATGACGCAATCTGTGCGAACCTGGTAAGAATCCTGATCACGTGACGAAAACAATCCCGTCTTTTGTCCAACAGTGGCTGTCAGCTATCATCCGCAACTGTACTCGGCAATGCCGGTACCGGACATCCATGACTGTACCCGCTCACTAATATCAAAAACGGAATGTCAGAGCAAGATTTTCCGGATTGTTCAACGTATTAAACTGTATGTTGTTAATTAAGTATGGATTGTTTTTTTAATGAAACATACGAAATGTGTTAATAATTAATCTACTTTATGGAAGGCTGTAATCGCCAAAACGGTAACGATAACTAGCTTAGTGAATATATCGCGGAAAATATATGTGTAAGCTTGACTATGCCTAAATCCATTGCATAGATCGCTATTATCTCTAAAAAGTAACATTTACTACAGCGTACATTTTGTATATCTATGACTATATACCTGTGCCTGATATACAACATCTGCGACTGTACCTAGCTGTGCCGTACATACACACTACCACTGACTCAACCCGCGCTTGAATAACTTAACCCGCGCTTGATTAATAACATCCACAACAAAAAATTCTGTGGATTTTCTCCCATTTAGATTTAGACTGAATTCAATCAAAGCGCAATTATAACGCTAATTTTACATTACCCATGACAGTGATACCGAGAGAAACGATGTCAGCAGTGATTAGGGAAGGATCCAAAACTTTTACAGATTTAAATTTAAAGCTTTATGTTCAGAGTACAATATGAGCCAGGTCTTTAATTTTTTGGGGGGTGGGGTGAGGGGGGGTGGGGCTGGGGGCATGATTTCAATATCCTACGTGCTCAGTAATAATGATGAATTTAAAATGAAACATGCTAGTATAATTATAGAAAATATACGAGTAAACAATAAACAAAGTAAAATAAAAAAGGAAATTAAAATAAATATTGGAATTAATTTGTAATCCTTAATTTTATGTTAGAAAGTATAAGTACGTCACAATATTATTAATTTCACCCATTTCATTGATCACGCAAGAGGTGTCAATGAAAAGCACAGGTTTTTTCCCATAAATATATGTCTTACGATATTTACGGGTGGAATGGGCTGACCCACCCGTTTTCAATGTGTTATATATAAACATCTCAAGTGCACCCCAGGAAGTAGCCTCCTATGCCCTGAAAAAGAATAGTTCCTAACAAAAAACCTTTATTTATTTACTAGGCACAGGTATCAAAGTTGTAAAAATAGGCTGGAAGACCCCCCCCCCCCAAAAAAAAAATCTCAAAAGAAATAAAAATTAATTTTATATGCATGAAACAATTAACATCTTGACTGGTCAATAACCGTGGTGTGATACCTGGAATATTTAGGGTATGGTATTAAAATAATTGCTCAAATTAAAGGAAATTAATGCTATAATTATCGATAACATCCAAAGAAAATATTTGTATGAGTAAATATTTTTATTAGATCCACCTCTTTAAGATTCTGCTGTACTGTCCAGACAACTCTAGAAATTTTACACCATGACTGTACCGGTGCCTGATTGACAACATCCACGACTGTACCTGTCCAGTACACACACTTTATTCTACATCCATGACTGTACCTGTGCATTATAAACAACATCCATGACTGTACCTGTCCAGTACACACACTTTATTCTACATCCATGACTGTACCTGTGCATTATAAACAACATCCACGACTGTACCTGTGCAGTATACACATCTTACTCTACATCCGTGACTGTACCTGTGCATTATAAACAACAATCAAACTGTACCTGTCCAGTACACACACTTTATTCTACATCCCTGACTGTACCTGTGCCTTATAATCAACATCCACGACTGTACCTGTGCATATATACATACTTTATTCTACATCCCTGACTGTACCTGTGCTTATAAACAACATCCATGACTGTACCTGTCCAGTACACACACTTTATTCTACATCCATGACTGTATTTGTGTCTTATAAACAACATCCACGACTGTACCTGTCCAGTACACACACTTTATTCTACATCCCTGACTGTACCTGTGCCTTATAAACAACATCCACGACTGTACCTGTGCATATATACATACTTTATTCTACATCCCTGACTGTACCTGTGCCTTAAAAACAACATTCACGACTGTACCTGTCCAGTACACACACTTTATTCTACTTCCATGACTGCATCTTTGCGTTATTTACAACATCCAAGAAAAGTTACTCAAGGCTCTACTAAAAGTTTGTTCTTTTGTCGTTTGTGACCCGAACCCCCACCCCCAATGCAACCCCCACCCCGTCAAAAAAATTGAATCATATGCCTGCAAGAAAGCTTGGGATTTAGTCTTTTTTTTAAAAAGAGGAAATACTCCTTCTTTCGATATATTCCATCCTCGCCTTCACAACTTCTGCCAAGTTTTATTATTATTGTAGAAGAGTTTATAAGTAATGGATTAATTATTTTCAAACCAGTGTCAAAAAGTTAACTGCCCATTTAAAACTCTTCTCATAAAGAGGGGGAAGGGTTAGACAATTTTATAAATTGAAATCGGGCTTTAAACATAACAAGTGATCCAGATTTTCAAATACTCATGGAAATGGATAAATAACCATCAAATCTCTCCGTATGTTTAACTTATGTAAAAGTCAACTGACATATTAGATTCATTGGCAATAAAATGACTATTTTTGCTGCTTTTAGTCTGTAAACATATGTTCTACACCCTAATCCCCCCCCCCCAACAACCCACTCCCCTGAAACAAGAAACAATTGGTA